TTTACTAAATTCATCAAATGGCAAGAAAATTTAGCGGGTGAATCACAACCTTTTCCAAATGGGTTAATCGTTATGGCATTTGATAACGAGCAAAAAAGCCAAAAAAACTACTTAGACCGTGGCTCTAATACTGTCATTTATCACACTGTTACTAGTTTAGTTTTATTTAATTTTGATCCTACTAACCAAATGCAAAACATCAAAAATCCTTGGCTACATAAAACTCTTAATACTATGCAAATTGAGCAATTATTCGATATCACTTCCGAAATGGAAATATTAATTGATCAGCAACTTCACGATTACCTTTCTATTATCTTAACTGAAGCATGCATTGAAAAAAATGAAAATATAAATTTTATAGATAATTTAATTATGAATCAAAAAACAAAAATAGATAAAAAAAAATGGTGCCGTGAGTGTAGTAAAGATAATATTGATAATTCTAAGCGTAAATGCCCTCAATGCAATACGAAACTTCCTACAATTACTGAAATTCAACAAGAAATTGACCAAACGATATCTAAAAAAAAGGATACAACCATACCTTTAATTTTTAAATTTCATTATCCCGAAGCGAATGCCCCTAAAAATTCTACAAATTTAATTAATCCACTTAGTATAACTCAAATATCCGAACCTCAAAACAATGTTATTATACCTGAAATCCTTGTTTCAGATCCTTTGCCCATAAACCCAAATTCTATTGCTAATGTTCAAAAAGTCCTAGATCATATTAAAGAAATTAGCGGAATTAACAAAGGTGAACGAAAATGGATTGCAGTGGTTCGTGATGGAATTCCTTACCGTTATGCGCAAAAATTCAAAAATAACTATCCAGAAATTCTTTTAATACCTGGTCCACTTCATGAGGAAATGAACATGTTAAAAGCTTTCGTAGAGTTAAATTGGTATAACATTATTAGTTTAAAATTGGTTAAATTAAATAAGAATTGACCATCATGGGTACGTATCATTTTATAAAAAATCATTTTTCAATATTTTATTTCATAGACAATCAATTCATAGATAAGTTCATTTTGAAGTTAATTATGTTACAGACAGTTATTTTAAAAATAATCTTTATAACAGTGAACAACTTTTAATTTATTAATTTGTTTTGGATAATTTAATTATCAAAATAATCATCTTATCAAATCAATCGCTTTGGTAATTAAATTATCTAAAAAGAACCAATAGAAGTTATTCGTGTTAAAGATTGTTCATGAAATAAATATATAAATCAATTGTCTATAAAATAAAATGTTTTTGAAATGATTTTCTATAAAATAATATGTACCCGACTATCATTATACGTAGGGTACAAATACCCAGTATAATATTAATACAGTGCCCTATATATATTAAAATTAGGTGCAATACCCGGTATAAGGCTAATATAGTGCCCTACATATATTAAAATTGGCGTAAGATTTAGAATATATGTAGTTATATATAAAATTAAATACTGAACAATTTTATTTAATATACCTACCACATATGGTTTTTGGGTCTGTATTATTTCACCGACAATCACTTCACCGACAGCTCATTTAGCTGACATCACGCCAGATGAAATTAGTAAAAATATATACCTGCAACTAATCAAATACTTAACCTTAACTCTATGTGATGTCTGTTAAATAAATATTCAGTGAAATGATTATTGGTTAATTGATCGAAGCCGGGTATAGGTTTCAGTAAAATATTAATGATTTTTGATTTTTTTGTTATAGCGAGTATTATACCTACTGGGTACAAATAGAAATTCTCATAATACAATTATATATTATATATTATAAAATCTAGGGCAATTGATCTACGATTTTTTGCGCAATATCAAGGATACAAAACTGAGAATCAGCTGGGCTATTTTAAAAAATGTCCTGATCATCACAAAGCATGGGATTCGATTTGTAATATTTATCGGCACTCAATGGCGATAGAACTAGTTTGGCCTTATGTTGTTTCAGACCCTAATCCGACCGTTAATGGATATCTTAACTGGGCTAAAAATCAAAAAGATGAATTATATAGATTAAAATATGAACAAGTATATTAATAATTCATAATATAAATATTTAGAAAATTTTTATACTTAAATTTTTTTTTTTTTTTAGATATTTTTATATTTACAGGCTATAATAAACTTTCGTAATGGCGTTAGATTTAATCAACCTTTACTTAGATCAGCAGCTCGCAGGGTATTTGCTCCAATTTGGTCTGCCAGAAGACATCCTATTTATCAAGAAATCGAAGTAGCTGATGAGGAGCAACTATTGCGCCTTCACCCTGAAATTCAGAAACTAATTAAATTAAATTCAGCTGTATCACGATCAGGATGGTCAAATCAACATCAAGGTTTGGACGCCATACTTGAAGAAGTAAATAAAATGCTAAAAACACTTATCCCGCCTATACCGACTCAGAAACATTGGAATATGGCAGCGAGAAATTGTATGAAATTCATAAAGGTAAAATAATAAATTTGAGTGCTGCCAAAAAAATAAGACTTCGGACTTCCAATTTTATTATTTATTATTCTGTTATTTATTGAATTTAGCCCTTTAAAGATATATATAAAATGTAATCATGTATCATATATATAACTAATAAGATTTTTCATAGATTGAATCCGATAAATAACAGAATAATAAATAATAAAATTGAAAGCCCGAAGTCTTATTTTCTTTTGCTAGCACTCATTTTAATGTCTTAATTGTTACCATTCTTGCAGATACTTTTTCATCTTTGACAACAGTTGCGAAAAAGATTATTTAACGCAATTGGATATGCTGACAATGAAAGTACCGGTCCACGAATACGTCCAGATTATGAAACAGAATCACAATGGTTTCAAATCCAATTAAGAAAAACTGGTTTTCTAAATCCAAATGAAAAGAATCGTTCCTTTGAGAGTTTGGGTGGGTACAATAAATTAAGCGAAAAAATGAAAACATTTAGTATTACAGCTCGAGCTCGGCATATAAACTATATCAAAGAAAAATTAAATTCGAAAAAACCATTAGTATCTCATCCTATTCCTGTTACTGTTGATGAAGAACAAATGCAATCAGAAGAAAGTTCAATGAAAAAGGAAGAATTGATTGTTGTTATCGAGTCACTTATTGGATCTTTGAATGAGACTAATCGGCCACAATTCAGAGGGTTAAAAGTGAAAAAAAAAGAAGATTTATTAATTATTCTACAACAAGTTCGAGATTTGATTAATAACAATGAAATGGATTAAAAAAAAAAAAAATACTGAATATTAGCATATTACCTTACAAATTATATTAAGAACTTTCTTAACTACATACAAGTTATTATTAAAGTTTTTTTTCTAGTAAATCTATAATACATTATGTCAATATATATAAATAACAGCCATGCCCAATTTAAAATATTATATCTGAAGTCTTCTCTTAAAACATGATAAAAATCTTCGGTAAAAAATCTGAAAATTGCTAAAAGTTTATTAATTTACTAATACGGATCCTAAAATACATCAAACAGAACTTGGCTAAATTTATTTTTTTTTTCATAAAATAATATTTACCCAAGATTCTTTAACCAACTTATTGACAGTAAGAACATGTTTGTGAAGGCTATATACGACTCAACATAGTCTCTAGTTTTTCATTCAAGGTTTGCTGATTTTTCATCAACACTGTACGTCCCTTATCTCAACTGATTCTTACAAGATCTTAGAATAAAAAATGTCGCGGCTGATGCTTGAAACGGCTGAAGCTTGAAATTAGGGGCTTCGATTTAAAAATATAAACCCTACTCAAATCCACTTATACATTTTAATTATCAAAACTAACCCTAAATCCTAAGCTAACTATAAAAAAATGCTCAAGAAATGCACTTCAAAATTTTTTGAAAATTTCATACTAAAGTATTTAAAATTTCAAGCTTCAGCTGTGACAAAAAATATTCCAGACGTCAACCACTTCCAGTTGCTGAAGAGTAGTACATTTACCGATCCTGGTGGTATAATATGTACTGTTTAAGATAAGTTAGATCGCATATTTTTTTTTTTTTTATATTTGTTGTGTTAGTTTATTTAATAAATTTACAAAAAAATGCAACAGGTACGTACAGAATTCTTTATAACGAACTGGTGGTTCCAGGGTTCCGGAAGGAAAAAATTGGTTCATTATCGAAAATTACAAAGTTTTTTAAGAAACTATAACTTTTTTATACCGGACTATTATGAAATTTCATAATTTGGGTTCCTTATATCCAGAGTTCATATAAAGAGGTTTGTTATATCCAGAGTTGAGTGTATGGCTATACACGATTCTTTTTTTTTATGATAATTTGCAGCCAATAAGGTGTTGTATTACCGAATATCAATAACAATTCTAGAAT